TCAGACCGTACGTTGAATTGATGCCCTTCACGGTTATTACGGATCACGCCAGCCTGAAATGGCTCATGTCATTGAAGGATCTAAACGGACGTCTTGCGAGGTGGTCATTGCGACTGCAGAGGTTTGACTTTGGGATCGAACACCGGAAAGGAGTCGACAACGTCGTGGCGGATACACTCTCACGCTGCATCGACGAAGTGGTGATAGATCCAACGGAGATCCTCGGATTCCAGACGACAGAGTTTGAGTCTTNACAATAGGCTTGAAAAAATCAAAATTTTGCTTTAGGTCACTGAAATACCTGGGATTTATCATCGGAGGTGGCACGTTGCAGATGGATCCTGAAAGAGTTTTGGCCATTCAAAGGATTCCCAATCCGAGTTCAGTGAAGGAACTAAGAAGCTTCCTAGGAACCGCAGGATGGTATAGGCGCTTCATCAAGGATTACGCTTCCATTGCTGTGCCGCTAACAGACGCGCTGAAGAAGCATCCGCGTGGAAAGTTTTCCCTGTCCACGGAGGCCGAGACGGCGATAGGATTCCTGAAGAAGGCACTCACCACGGCTCCGGTATTAAGTCATGCTGATTTCAAGAAGCCTTTCTATGTACAGTGCGACGCATCGAATTACGGAGTGGGAGCGGTGTTGTTTCAGTTGGACGTCGAAGGAGCCGAGCGTCCGGTGGCATTCTTCTCCGCCAAGTTAAACAAGCATCAGCTAAATTATTCTGTAACGGAAAAAGAGTGTTTAGCTGCGGTGTTGGCCATTGAAAAATTCAGACCGTACGTTGAATTGATGCCCTTCACGGTTATTACGGATCACGCCAGCCTGAAATGGCTCATGTCATTGAAGGATCTAAACGGACGTCTTGCGAGGTGGTCATTGCGACTGCAGAGGTTTGACTTTGGGATCGAACACCGGAAAGGAGTCGACAACGTCGTGGCGGATACACTCTCACGCTGCATCGACGAAGTGGTGATAGATCCAACGGAGATCCTCGGATTCCAGACGACAGTGTTTGAGTCTTCAGAATATCAGGAGCTGAAAGGAGAAATCGGCAAGAATCAAGACATGTTGCCTGACCTACGAGTGGAAGCGGATGGCTTTCACGCAAATGGACGACCAAGTGGAAGGGTCCATTTGGAAATTATGGATTCCCGCGTCACTGACGGAAACTCTCATCTCCAAGGCCCACGAAGACCACACAGCTGGACACGGTGGACTTAAAAAGACCTTGCATCGGCTAAGAAGGCAATTCTACTGGCCAGCGATGACGACACAAGTGCGGGAGTATGTCCGGAACTGCGATGCTTGTAAGGAGTCCAAAGCACCAAATTATCGAAGCCAGGTAGGGATCGGTCAGGAAGTCGTAACGGAGAGGCCATTCCAGAAATTATACATCGATTTACTGGGGAAGTATCCTCGGTCGAAAAGGGGACAAGCTTGGATTTTTGTCGTCGTAGACCACTTCTCTAAATTCACCTTTCTAAAAGCGATGAGAGAGGCGACAGCGGCGAATGTAGTTCAATTCCTAGTACAGGAAGTGTTCTACAAGTTTGGGGTGCCCGAGGTGATCCACTCCGACAACGGAAAGCAGTTCCTGTCGAAGATCTTCCAGGACATGATGAGCACCTTCGGCGCCCGACATCTGCGCACAGCAGTCTACTCACCACAGAGCAATGCCGCCGAGAGGGTGAACCGGACAATATTAGCTGCAATCAGGACGTATTTAGAGAAGGATCATCGAGACTGGGATATGTACCTACCGGAGATTGAAGTGTCGATCCGTGACTCAGTGCACGAAGCCACAGGCGTGACGCCGTTTTTTGCAGTTTTTGGACAGCAAATGTTCCTTAATGGGAACTGCTATAAGTTGGCGAGGAAGCTGCAGTCGCTGACGGAGCATGAGGTGCACGCATTGAACCCCGCGGATAAGTGCCACATCATCCGGGAACGTATCAAGGCTAACCTTCACCAAGCGTACGAGCGCAGCAGCCAGCGCTACAACAAACGGGCCCGAATATTTTTCGCCAAACCTGGGCAAGAAGTATACAGGCGCAACTTCACCCTCAGCGACTTTGGGAAGAGCTACAACGCCAAATTCGCCCGGAAGTTCCTGAAGTGCCGAGTCGTAAGTCCGGTTGGAAATAATGCCTACGAACTTGAAGACCTGGCGGGGAAACCGGTGGGGATTTTTCACGCCAAAGACCTGAAATTGTAGTGGGAAAGCCTTAGAAGGAGAAGGGAAGAAGAATAGGGCACTCATGTACAAACCGAGTGGGTGTGAGCCTACGTTGGGCGCTGCAAGACCTTAGGGCAAGCGTTAGGTTTCAATGTCCTTCGAGTGTTTGCGAATAATTCTTCCGTCCAGGCACGCCTGAATTTTCGCTAGGTGTTGCATTCGAAGGAGAGCGATAGGCAAAATACTAGATTTGGTAGTATTTTTTTGGAGGTTGATAGGTCGATAGGCGAAAGGGCAAGGCGATCAACGGTGCCGGTGAGAGAGCGCGAGGGGAGAATGTAAGAGAGGGGAATATTGCGGGATCCACGAGCCAGCTCACCCACACCCTCAAGAATGCCATGCTATGCCCTTGAATTTGGTTCAAGGGCAATAGAAGAGATGAGATCAGCTGCAGCAAGGGGGAATGCGTAGAGTAGCTACGCTGAACATGCCGGCAGTGGAAAATAAACATCGGCAGTGTTAGAGCGTTTTGTGTGTGTGACCGTATAGGAAAACAAACAGACCGGCCAACGTAGAGGACCTTTTTACCCGAATCGAAATAAAAAGTGAGTCCAGTCCAAAGGGAAAATGGATCCCAGATTCAATATTTTTAAAACCCATAGGGCGTATATTGTATCGGCTGGCTTCCCGTAGATGGGCCAAAATTACCATTCCCCGGCCCGCGGAATCCTGGTCACACCCCTGCCCGGGCGCGACCCGCCACGGCGCCACCGACAATTAAATAATTAATTCATGCCTACATAAACGCATACCTATCTACATGCATATATAAAGACACACCAAAAATAATATCTATCTATATTAATTAATATTCAATTAATTAGCCACCCCACATATATTTACCGACCATATTAATGTAATATAAATGTAGTATTTGTATTTATATTTATTTTATTATTTATATTTATTATTTTTGTGATTATTCCCACCCATTAATTTAAGTTGAAGAGTCGGGAATAGGCGGACGCGCCACGAGACATTAGTATAGGGATTTTTAGTTAAGTATGTGTTAAGTTTTTGATTTAAATATTATAACGTTTAAAATGAAGTGCTAGTGTGTTTAGTATGGGGGGGAAAGGGGACCACAACGGCGAGATGGAGAAAGTCCGCCACACTTGGGAAGGAGATCTGAGGTATTCTGAGTCGCATCTCAGGTAGAGTACGTAGGAGCTAGACCATCGGCACCTTAGACTTGTCCACGTCTGTGTTGGAGAGATGTTTGTCCGTTAGATGTAGAGTAAAGTCCGATGCATTGTTTTGAATTATCGTTTGTTTTTGATATTTGTTCGAGATGTCCGAACAGTTGGTTTGTTGTGCGACCTGGGGGCCTGGGAAGAACTCAGCCCTGACATGACTGGCTAGCCGGCCTTGCCCCAACACCAAAACAGGTTCGTAACATATGTTACTTGAGCCAGTGCTAGTACTCAGATTGAAAAAAAGGGGTCGCTAAAGATATCAGGGATGATATTCGTATGGAACCGATAAGAAATTTTTGTGCGCACAAGTTACTCTCTAGCGGCTGTACGCCAGGCTGTACCACTAGCCCCGAAAACAAAATCAAATCATCAAAACGAATTTTCGTTTCATCGCTCTTCATACATTACTTTCAGTGTCCGTGTGAATCAAGACAAAACCGGTTTGGAGCGCTAAAAAATCATTGGCTACACGCACTTATACAAATGTAGCTGGGATTTCTAGCTGCGTGTTCTACACGCACTAATACCTGTAGCTACGACGTTGGCAGAGGCCTGGGACTTCGAGACGCACATTGAGCGGTGACGTTTTGCTTGGCTTAAATTGAGAGTCTACTATACCATTTGGTTACTGGCAGTACTCAGATCGACCAAAAAACAGGCCGAAATAATCTAGAAAGTCAGACGATAGTATTTTGTGGTATCGATAGTATTTGTGTGGTATTCGTTGGTATGTTGCTAGCAGCTCGACAAATATAGATTTGATTTATATTACGAGGGTACCTAGCAAACAGAGAGTAAAGTCTCAATCAAATGGAGTCAACAATCCCGCAGAAGTTGAAGGCTTGTTTTGAAGGCGCCGTTTTACGACTTTGCCACGGGCGCAAATATTCCATTGGCACGTCCTTGCTGCTCCACCAATTAAAGAAGGCTGCGGAATACGCAAAGGATATCGTTTCATGGGTTTTTATAAATGTACACATATGTATATGATTTATAATACTGTATAGACAAACGACCGTCCTGGTTTGTTTCCTGCTCCGATCATGCAAGAGCCGCCAATCCCACAAAAGCAATCTAATGCATGCATCAATTTTGCATTCATTGTTTTAAAACCATTTATTCAATATTCACACATTTTCAAAAAGGGAAAAAAAACAACACAGCTGCCTGAGAAGTGTAACCGTGCGAAATGCGGGTCACCTCTTGGTCACACTCTGCTGCTATAAAAATATAGTGCACATTTTTCTAGTAAGTTTTTTTTTCGATCTGAGTACTAGGCTTTAAACAAGGTGTCGTCTTATCAGCCATGAACCGAAATCTATTTCAACGATGTTGATTTGGTTATTAGTATTAGTATCCAACAAAGCTTTCAGGCCACAGAAAGTCGATTCATCAATCGGTAAAAAATTGTTTTTCAACGAGAGTTCTAACTACCTGGTTATATAAATTATTAATATCAAAATATGAAAATTATGTAGGATTCGGAATATATACTGCATATTTTGTAAGGAGGAAGGTATATTTCGGTATATATCCGAGGGTCTAACGGTATATTTGATTGTTAACTTCGTGGTCACACTATTATATATTTTCGCGACAAATAATTATATTTATACAAAAAAATGGGCTTAAAAAAGGCTTTGAACAATTGCCTGATCAATTTTGATTGTCGCGTGATGGTCACAGACCTGCTGGAAGAGTACAAGTTATCCTACAAAGAGGTAAATGACACGTTGGAGGCGTATATCAAAGGGAAGGAGCCTGCAACGAGATTCGAGAAGCGATTCCTGGTCCATGGCACAGGACAGAAAAATGGCACAAATGATGAGTTCTACACGATTGTGCAGGAGAGCAAGCTAGAGGATTGGCGGACGAAGATGCGGGATGCGCAGTGGCAGCTCTACAGCGTAGAGATTGCAGGGGGCTCCAAGTCTCCGGCAACTGTGTTCCGTCCCATGCAGCACCTGGAGGTGAAGCTGGCCGGCGTGGAGAGGCGCTCTGGTACCAGAATTGCTGTGGACAGGGCCACGAACGGTGTGCAGAACTCAGGTCCATCAACCAATGGCGTCCAGAGGGCACCGACTGCTGTGAATGACGGCAAGACTGCTCCGGCTACAAATGGGTTCAAAAACTCTTCTAACAGCAAGGAAAATACTGAAACCGAGCTAATGAAAACATCGCCCAAGGAGCAGGCATCGAAGGGCAAAGCAGCAAAGAAGGGCAGCATCAACAGTTTCTTTTCAGCAGCAGGAGCGGGAGCTACTGCAGCTAGCAACAAATCCAAAGAAGTCAAAGCTACGCCAAGCAAAGCCAATACAATGGACACTTTCTTTAAGAAGCAACCAGCAGGAGGAGCAGCTGCCACAGCAGTCAAGAAGCTGTCCCCAGAGAGTCAGACCAAGAAGTCCCCTGAAAGCCAGTTCAAGAAGTCTCCTGACAGCCAGGCCAAGAAGTCCCCTCCGATTCAGGAAAAGAAGGAATCCACAGCCAACATGTCCATTCAACTGTTTGACGATGAGATCGCCGAATCATCCGAGGAGGAGAAAGAACTGGACAAAATACGACGCAAAGTATTGGCCTCGGACAACGAGTTCGACCAGGAGAAACCCACCACCAGCAAGCGTCGTCGCATTAGCGACTCCGAAGACGAAGAGCAGCATCCCACTAAGAAGAGCGCCGAAGAGGAAGTCCTCACAGTGGATGACGAAATGGAGGCGGATCCCTCGAATGAAACCTTTCTGGATGATGACGGCTTTGTCGTCACTCAGCGCAAGCCCACAAAGCCATCAAAGGCATTTAAAACAATGGCTCTACCAGTCGATTCCGCAGCCAAAAATAAGTATTCGCCTTCACATTCGGTTGCAGGTGTCAAGAAGAAATCGCCTCCAGCGACAACCAAAGTCGGCAAGGAAGCACCGAAATCGAAGCAGGGGAATCTCATGAGTTTCTTTACTAAAAAATAAATACGGAAAATATTTATACTGGAATGAAATCTAAACAATGATATTTTTTGCTTAGTTCTTAAGAAAACTGAATGAAATTTATATGCTCCAACAAAAGCTATTATTAGTCTTTGGAATATTTAAGAGGATTATTTCCAGATTATATGCGCTGTGTTAATTATAAACCTTTCCATTAGAATCTGAAAGTATTTTCTGGAAAATCTGGTAATTACTTTATAATTAGTTTGTTTAGGCTCGAAGTTGATAAATTAAACAATATCCTAATCCTAATAAATATTTGTCCCATTCAATTTGAAACCTCTTCGATTAAATAATCCATGATTCTCGCTGCATACAGTTATATTCTAAATGTTTAAAACAATTAATATGATATTCCATGTCTATAATAATAATCAAGCAAGTTAATATCAAAGCATAATACAGATCAATCGACTGAATTTTCTATAACTTTGACAATTAACCCAAAATGCACTTTATACATAATTCTGCTTTGGATTTCTAGGATGAATTGGAAGATCAAGCAAAAATCCATGGATTTACTACTTTAAATTTGTTCGCATAGTTTTAAAGAAGGGACGTGTGAGACGCTTCTTACGCGTCACAACTTTTATACCCGGCACTCAGTACTACATCTGCACCTTAGCGGTGTTTTGTCAAAATGTTACATTTTTTTATACCCGGTACTCGAAGAGTAAATAGGGTTATTGTATTTGTGCACAAAGTGAATGTATGTAACGCACAGAAGGAAACGTTTCCGACCCCATAAAGTATATATATTCTTGATCAGCATCAATAGCCGAGTCGATTGAGCCATGTTTGTCTGTTCGTCTGTCTGTCCGTCCGTCTTGTTGAGCGCCTGGATCTCAGAGACCATAAAAACTAGATCCACCAAATTTTGCATCCAGACTTCTGTATGCTCACACTGTTACAAGTGTATTTAAAAAATGAGCCCCGCACCCGCAAAAGGGCGAAAACCTCCCAAATATACAATTTTGAAGATAAAAGAAAACTAAAAACGCCATTCCGTAGGGAATTTTAGTTTTCTTGTATCTTCAAAATTGTGAATTTTTGTTTTGCGTTGTGATTTTTATTGCATTTGTTAATAGCTACTAGAAGTTTGTTTGAGTATCTTGCTGTTTGTTGTAATTTTTGCTTAGTAATTCATATTCGATTCCGCGTCTGTATGTGTGTCCGAATGTGTTGGTGTGTATCTGTGTGAAGACTGCCTGGCGTACGCGTATCAGTGCGTTTTTAATTGGTATTGTTTCCTTTTTTTTTGTTGTTCAATTCATATTTTGTCTTCATCTTCCTTCAAAACACTTTCAAAAATTAAGGCGAGGTTTAATACAATTTGAATATTGATTAAGTTATTCTGTTTTTCGTTTCTGCAGTGATTGCGATTGATTCCTATCTGATTTTTAAGCATTAAAAGCTTACAGTCTGGCTGCCCAATGGCAAGCAAATATATACGTGATTGGGAGAGGGACTTTTAACTCGATCTGTATCTGAAACAATATAATGTCTTTCCTGGTTTGATGGCAAGATTTGGAGATCGATTTTGTTTGGTTGGAAATGCCTAGGCTTAGGTAGAAGCTTCTCAGAAGCTAAATGTTTTGCTTATTATTAAGTTTGAGTTTGCTTAGAAAGAGATTTGTATGTCCCCAATGTTCGCTGAGAATACGTTGCATTACATTCCTTTTTTATCTGATTAATGTCCGAACTAAATTTATGAAGCGTACAGTGGGAATGCTTTTGTTTTTTGTTTCGTTTGCAGTTTTAGCTTTCTCAAAATATTGCTCGCATATGCAAAATGTAAAACTCATCTGCTATAAAAATCAGTTGATAGTTTTGTCCTAGAGGGTGGTGTGATATGAACATAATGCATGATATGATTCCTCTACTAAAAATGATTTCTCCACTTTTATTCTGTTTTTTGATTCGTAAAATTGTATGTCATTTACTTAATCACCTAAATGAATGTTACATTCGTTGCGTACAATTTAATATCTCAGCACCATTTTTTGAATAATAGCACAAAGTATATATAATAATATCTATATTTTATGGATCAACAGTAGTACCTTCCTAGAATTTGTTTTCGGGTTTTGTGTGTTTCTTGTTGTGGTTTGCTCTACAGAATAAAATAGTTTTAAGTTAAGTTATGGTTTTGGGTTCTCGTTTTTCTTTTTGCTTCTTTCTTTCTATTAATTTCTGTGTTGTGTTCTAGACCTGTGTATCTACAACACTGCCATAGGACTTTTCAGCATATTTGGGCGAAATATAATCCTCGTAGTAGTTGATGAATATATCCTTGAATTCATCGGCTATGAACTCCAGCGCATTCAGCATCTGCATCAATTCCCGATCGTTACACTTGTAGTTGCTCAATGCCATCACATCCCAGAAGTAGGCAAAGTATTGCACATACTCGATCGACTGCCCGCCGTATTGGGCCACCACAGCAGGCAGCACGGCGCGCATAATGGATCCCAGCTTATTGAACTCCCAGTCATCCAGGACGGTGGCCCCCTCTTCAGAACGCACAGACAGCAATAAGACGACCCGATAGAAAGATAATACACACACAGAGAGATAGAGATAGTAATAGCAGTATTTGCACACAAGAAAAGAGGAAAAGAAATGGTAGGGAGATTGAAAACAGAAGCCCGATTCTTAATGAAGGTGAAACAAATGACATCAGTGCGAAAGCAAGAGCTGGCAATGAATAAAAAAAAAAGTAAATGATACAAATTGTAAATATCGAAGCGTACGCTCCCCAAGGACATACCACGATGCACCATCAGGCACTGCTCTAGCAGAAGCCGGGCCAGTGCCACCTTGCACTCGTGCAACTCCATCAGCTGGCTCTCGGCACGCTCAATAGCGGCATACAGCTTGCAGCGCTCCTCGATCAGCTCGCAGTCAATGAGGGATGTATTGAAGGACCAGAACCACTCCAGTTTCTGCGCCTGGTCACAGTGCGGACACACAATCAGCTCGGCGCCGTTGTATTCCGGCTGGGTGTACTCCTCGGACAGCCACCAGCGTAGGTTCGGTGCATGGGGAAGGGCATGGGGCGTGAAGATCTCCATGCATTTGGGATTATCACAACGATAGCGATGGAACTTGTACTGTGAAAAGGCGGGAGGGTGTAAAGATATGAACATTTTGATCATATGCCATATCCCACTTACGAACTGATCATCCGTATGGGACAGCTGGCAGGCACTGCAGTAGCACTTGATGCCGTGTTCTTCCAGCTCTTTGCTGCGTTCTCCCTGACGCAACTGCTGGTAATTGCCGCTGGCAAAACAATTATATATGCCCGATCCCGCCGGCAGGTCCAGCAGTGCCAATGCAGTCAGCTTTCGCCCCGAGAACTTGCTGCAGATGGTGGAGGAACAACTGTGGCGACAGAGACTCAGTGTCTCTGGATAGACGGCATAGGCCACGACCGCCACCTCGCCGGCCAGCAGATGCAGATGGCCCTCCTGCAGCCGCATGGGCGCTGCCCACAGCTGGAACTCATTGAGGGGCGAGAACACATGAGGATCCGTGGGCAGCACAAAGGAGCGGCAGTGTGTTAGCGAACGATGGCGAAGCTGACTGATGTGGCGCATCAAAAGCGCCGCACACAGCAGCTCCCACTCGGCACTCGACATGCGGGAGGCGGAGGGCAGGCTCTTCTCCAGCTGATCGAAGAACGTCGTGCATTTGCTCAGGTAAATGGCCAGAATGTGCGCTGCCAGTGCCAGGGAAATCAGAGTCTCCGAGGAGTGCTCTTCTTCAAGCCTCTCCAGTCGCAGCACAGAGCTGTAGCCAATATCCTGTCGCTCCAACAAGGCGCCATTGATGCATGACCATAGCTTGCTGAGGGTCGGCTTTTTGCGGCAGTGCGCCAGCATCTCTGGCAGTCCCGTAATCAGCAGTCGCAATGCCAACTGCAGCAAACGCGGCATGCCAAACACCTCTCCAAAGGACTCGAACAGTTCTATTTGGTGCCCAAAACACTCCACGGCATGAATGGCAGCGTGCTTGAAGCGACACTGGCGAGAGCAGTAGACAACCAGGCGGTTGGAGCAGTAAATGCAAGGAAAAGGAATGAACTGAGTGATGCCACAACAATCACACACCCGACAATTGCCACTCGGCACCATGGCTACCGCCTCAGACTCGAAGATGAGGGAATTCCTGGCCAGAGCACGGGTGCTATGCAGCGACGAGGAGTTGTCCAACCAGGCACTGTTTTTGGTAATAAAAATATCGATTAATGGTGGTCCCTAGTTGATGATTCTCACTCACATTTCAAAGGCTTTCATGTCGTTGGTTTCCAGATCATCGCCCGTTTGCACAGCCATCTCGAAACGCTCCACCTTGAGCACCTCGCACTGGTGCCAGAGCTCGTGGGTGCGCGTCTCGAAGACCTGGTTCAGTTCAATGTGCAGGAGCTCGTGGAGATGCTCCTCGCAGAGCGTAAAATTGCGTAGTTTTAAGGCACAGGCGGCTTGTCGGAGCTTTATCAATGGCAAATACTCCTCCGGAAAGCCCAAATCCAGAGAACACAGACAGTCATCATAGGATTCCTAAAATAAAATTACTGTTATTGGCAAGAAATATTTAAATTATCTTTGAACTTACAGCATACAGACCACAATCGTACAGAACCAGTGAGCGATTGGCATGGGCCAGGGCAGCGGCCAGCGTGTTCCTTGCCGGGGCTAGGAAGATGGCCTCTGTGAACAGATCGCTGGCCTTGAGCGGATGCTTCTCCTTGCGGTATGAATCATTCCCGGCCTCGCGCAGTCGACGCGACTCCTCCTCGGACTTGAAGTGGCCCGTTTGGTGGCGTAGATTTTGAAACCATTTGAGTACATGCGTTCTGTAAGTAATTATGCCAAGAATGGGGCGCAGGTGGAGGCCGTTACATGGTTATATGTGACGGGTGGTGAGGTTAAATTGGTTCACTTAATTTATTCACAGAAAATGTCAAAACGAAGTGACCCATATTCCGAAAATCGACATCGAAAATGATACTTAACCGTACGAATGCATGCAATCAGAGTGCATGTTTTATATGAGGTGGGCGGCAGTCCAAGCGAGGCAGTCGTTTTAGTTGCATTATCCGTTACAGTTGTGCAAACCAGAAGGACTGGGAATCAGTCTGGGAATACCGGACAGACCCTTACTCTATATTTATGTGACCTGCAAGCAATCACGACCTGGGCTGAACTCGCTCTCTGAACTCACCCCCACCCACAGAATTACAAAACACACCTGACAATTACAAAACACATTTCTTATGCCATTCATTATATTGGCGAATAAGAAAGTCTACAAAGGTGGAATTAATTTCACATAGTTGCGGGAAGGCAATTTTGCATAATTTGATTGCATTGCCGCCCTGGGGCGCAAAAACACTTTCGCTCTCACACGCACACCCACACACGTACGCTTGCACTGACTGGGACACACGCACACGAAAACACACGAAGAATCGTTTGTTTCACCTAAAATCCAACAGCGGTTCCTTCGTCGTTGTCGTTGCTGGTGTTGATGTTGGGGATGAAACACTGAAACCACCCACCGCCCCAATTAGATCGTCATCTTCTTCCCCGCCATACTCCGGCCTAGAAAGTGGCGCCAATGCGACCACAGTGTCTCCGCCACCATTGCAACCATCCTTCTGTACATCCCCATCAGCCTCCCGATTGAGTTTTTGCCGTTTCACTGGCGTTAAAATCTGAATGAATTGCAGTTCATCTGTATAGTGGAGCTCCTCCAGCTTGAGTTGTCGCAGCTGGTGACCAATTAAATCACCCAGCGACGGAACTGGAGCAGAAGAAAAAGAAGCAGCAGCGGCAGCAGGAGGAGCAGAAGATGTAGCTTTGTTGTTCACACGCGCAGATGAAGAGGAAGAGGCCATCACTTGCTTCCTTTGATTGGGCTTTGCTTTTTTTGGTCTTCACGTCTTCTCGCGTCTTACGGTCTCACACTGTCATTCATTCAATGGGCCATGATTTTCGCCTCTTGTGGTATATGCTGCGGTAATCCTGGCGAGGTACTGGCTATCAATTCGTATGCACTGCACCGCGACATGCTTCAAAGTTGCTAAGACTTGGGCGAAATTTTGCACGTTATGGCTTTCATTGATTTGTTGAACATTGTGGCGAGTATCATCGATAAAATATACCGTAAGGGCTTCGTAAATATACCAAAATATACCATTGCATTTTCAAAATATACCGTAAATATACCCTAGTCTTAAATCAGACTCCTCGATTTTTATGTTATATTTGATATTACTAGCTTGCAGACTTTCACCACTGAAACAATAATTTGATCCGATTGAAGAATCAATTTTGCTTATTATAAATACTCATTTTTATTTGAATTTTTCATTGAAATCAACCCCTCCGGAAGCACTGGAGCTTTGTCTTCAGTATGTTACTGTATGTAAATTATTAACAGAGACACATGTACACATGTTAACTGATATCACTAAGCTAACAACTCATAGAGTGTTCAAACGTTGGAAAAACTGCCTGCCTAATCAGTTTATTGGATTGGCTCCCAGTGCCTTCGGCTCTTGGTGAGAGAGCCTTCGGCTAAAGTCTCAAGTTTGAAGGAAGGGTATGTGAGCTCAGAATAAAAAAAAATGTCAAACGTGTCAAGCACTAAAAGTGAAAACGCATATAAAGTCGAGAATAGATACACGCATTGCCATCATTTATGTATGTACATATGTGTCACCGCACACAAGCAATTACGAAGCAGACTTGAAAAAGAAAACTTTGTTTTTGCGCGTGTTGCTTTGCGTTCAATGTTTAAGAGAGCCAACGCCAAATCTTTTAGTCCAGGCCAACTCGAGCGTGACTTGGATCTATTCTTCGTTTTTGGTTGCCCGCTTAGCACAAAAAGATTCTCACGAGCCTTGGCTTAGCGGCTCTTCCAAATTGGTTGACAAACTGGTCGACTCTGCTCATATAAGCCAAGCAAGCATATTTGCATAAATATGTATCTGGGAGGTGAGTGTGTGAGTGTGTGTGCAGTGGATGTAGATGTAGATGTGAATGGTCATATACCTTCCCTTTTGGCCTAAGTAATTGTTTTTGTGGCACGTCTTCAATATGTTTATTGGCCAAGCAGCAACGAACACACAGAGCCCAGCGAGAACTGTTGCACTCCAAAGTTTGTACGAGAGCGGCGGACAGTTTGACAGAACAATAATAGGCATTAGGTATTACTCGTATAATATAATCCGTAAATATCATCTGCATTCCCCAATCAGCAGACCACAAAGCGAGAAGCGGGCAGAGAGAGACAACATTTAAATCTCTAACGGACATTTCTTCATCTTTAATATCGAATTTCGAACGTTTCGTGAGAGCCGAATCCACATTTTGAATATTAATTGGTTGAAAGTTGAAAACGCGTAAAAAGTAGAAAAAAAAGTATTAAACTGAATCGATTTTTCTTGTATAAATAGTGGACCAGAATAGTATTCAGTATTCAGTTTTCGAATAGAAACATGGGGTAAATACTCTTGCAGAGAGAAGCATGCCTGAACTAATGGGATGAATGGTTAGGAAAATAAGAGTATTATTAGCAGTTTATAAGTTTTCTTTTAATTGTTTACAATCGGAGCAAAACCTAAGTGACACATACTTCTAATTGAAAAGTTATCTAAGCCGCAGATGAAAGTTCCCTTAGATTTCGCAAATTCAGCCGAAGGCTCTCTCACCAAGAGCCGAAGGCACTGGGAGCCAATCCCCTATACTGATTAGGCAGCCAGTTTTATGTCGATTTGACCACTCTATGAGTTGTTTGCTTAGTGATTATACTTATTTAATTTACCAACCATCATCTTATATTAGCAAATTTGTAAATTGTATCTTTCCTTCCGCTCCTGTATCATATTAGCAATTAATTATTAATTGCATATAAATAAATACTTACTATAATCCATATGTTGTCTATAGTCATAAACTAATATATTTTATAATATATTGAGTCGTTCTCATTAGTTGTTCAAACTCCCTTCGCAAAGGAAAAGAGCTTTCAAACTCCCTTAACAAGCCAAGGGAGCTTTGTGGGGCGAAATTTGTACCAAAAACTACGTGATGGAAATTCTCCAGGGAAGTTCTCTCCTGCGTCTTAACGGTCTGGGAAATCATCTCTTGCCAGACGCGCTCACATGCACTATTAGGGATCCTTTCAACAGGTGCGAAAAAGGTGGTAGCTTTGAAAAGCTCGTCGGCCAAAGAGAGGTCAGCAAGAGAGAGGATGCGACCTCTGTTCTCACTCCTAATTTCGTCTCAATTTGAGCACAGAAATCCTACAGAAATATATCACAAAAAATATACGCTCACACGTGCATAAAACGTAAATCTTCACCTATTTCCTCGACTTCGACCTTCTATTTTATATTACTAGCTAGTTTGGACTCTCAGAACTATAACTATAGTTTAATCAAATTTATGAAACAGTTCTTAACTAGATTGGCTAGCTTTCATGACTTCCTTTTATTGGGTTGTTTAGAAAATAAGTTTAAAAATCAACCAAGCAAATAAAAACGAGAAGGGACGTATGAGATGCTTCTTACGCGTTACAACTTGTATACTCAGTTGGTATATCTGTACCTTAGTGGTCCCTTTTGAATTTTACAATATTTTTACTTCTGTCATCTATATCTACATCACTTCTCTAGACAAATAAAAAAGCTGCTGGACGGGGTGGGGTGAATCCAATGCAAATTAAATTCTTTATTGTGTCCATAATAATGATCCAATCGGATCCCAATTCGGTGATCTGATAGATATGGTCATAGGTTTTAAATTTCTTTTGTCTTCAAACTGTGGATCCCGCAGATTTTCGCGGTTTGCAGGGGCGGAAGAGGGCGGGGCGAAATTTTGAAATACACTTGTAGCAGTGGGAGCATACAGCCATTTGCGCCCTCTAGCTTTTATAGTCTCTGAGAACCAGGCGCTCGACAAGACGGACTGACATGGCTGTGTGTGTTACATAAATCCAATTTTCCCCACAAATACAATATACCCTATTTACTTTTCGAGTACCGGGTATAAAAATGGAATTTAATAGATGACTGAAACTCATGATACCAGATATCGTACGTACATACGTACACATTGATTTCATTTTCGTAGTTTCAATGATTTTTGTATATTGTGGGAACAAAAAGATACTATTACGGGATATACTAGTAGAAAATACAGCCGCAGCTATTTCTGGCTGTCTGGCAGTCTTGTGTACAGCGCCAAGCTTTAAACAAAAGGTTGTGTGTGAAATTGTGAAAATAATTTCGTATACCGCACGTTACCATCATTATATCGTAGAATGAGCAGTTCGGTCCGTGTGCTATAGTCAGACTTGATAAGAAAGTATTTGCAAATGCTTCTCTTGTCATTTCTTCTCCAGATTAATCAACTCACAAACACACACACGCACGCACCCCACAAAGTGCACTTGGCTCTCTTAGGCACGTCGCCTATCAGCCGCAAGTTGTAAGTTTTATCTTTCATTTATCTAGTGTTTGCTCTTGATCTTATCGTTCTCTGCTTAGCTCCACATCTTCGTTTGGGGGATATCGGATCTCTGGCATTCTCTCATATAAGAAACATTTATCCGTCAAAGTTTCTGTTGTCACGTTGTGTTTTCTGTTCTTTGGTGCTGCGTTCAAATTGTTTAGCATTATTATGTACAAAAATGAGGATACACCTATTGCCAAGTAAGTGTTGAGGAAGGGAACGAATACGGGGACGGCAGATTATCGTCTGACTTTTGGAATAAATTTAAGTGGCAGGAATAAAAAGTTGCGTAAAAACAAAATCTCTTTTGGGTAAATTAACATAAAGAGAGAGCCCAAATGAGCTGCTGATTTGTGAAATAGCCGTAAAAGCGGACAGCGTGGGAGCGACACCAACTGTGCCGGCACTCTCTCTCTCTCTCTCTATCCCTCTCTCTCTGGTAGGTGCGCTTCTAGAAGGCCTCGAAAAGTTGCCTACTTCACTCTATTTTGCTTTTTGCAATTTTTCTTTTAGTTTTATTTTTGCACATGCTCTTGCTCTTGTAAAGGGGATAACAATTTTGTAATGATATTTTTATCCTAAACAATTGGCGTGCCACTGACAAAAATACTGTCTGGCGATATTACTTGAGTCTTCCGAGATATTTGATTTTCTTCCACTCGGCATCTGTATTTGCGTTGGCGGGGCTTATTCAATTTTTATACCCGACCTCACGTATATATATTATTGATCAGCATCAATAGCCGAGTGATATAGCCATGTCTTTTCGTCCGTTCAACTTTCCGACAGAAATCATAAGAGATAGGGCAACCAATTTTTGCATCCAGACTGCAGTATGGTCACAATGTTACAAGGGTATTTCAAGAGTATATACATACATACAAATAAGAAGAGTTATCCCATAGTATCCATATTTGGGAGCAACTAAAATGTGTGAACATTTTAGAATTATGTAGAATCAAGTTAAGGGTTTGACTGACACAGAGTCAAACATTAAATTTGTTTTGGAACACGAGATATGAGTAATCTATGGATCATAGCTCCATTTCCTCGGTTTATTCTGGACACCCTTTGCATTCATCTCCAGTATCATAAGCTCGCATACTATGTTGGTATGTACATATGTGAATATGTATATAGACATGTATGTAAATATGTATGTAATGACTATGCACCAGGCATAAAATAAGTGACGCGGCTTTAGAAGCGCCTCACAACGTTTCTCCCCTTTGTGTATTCTGCCGCCTTTACGTTTTTGCAATTTCGTTTGGGAAAGTTGCAGAGGCAAGTAGTTTGGCTCCATTTGCACTTTTCGTAGTAAAAATTACGCACACTTGTACCCCTTCCCAAGCACTCGCAAACGATGAAAAGGTATCACACATACTCATACCGATGGGAACACATTAACCCCAACCCATACTGATGAGGAAGGAGGCGATGCTCCTGAAGTTGGGATGGCAATAGGGGCGTGGCCTTTAAGTAGTTCTCGCTAGTAGTCTTTGTTAAGTAAGAAAACTTCAAATTGAATTTTTCGCAACACTTTTCATTTTAGCACCTATCAAAAAACCCACTTTTTCCGAAGCAACTCAGCCTTATTACTGTGCCAACTGCCTGATGATG